GATATTTGTATATGTTCTAATTAGTTCTGATGACTATAGGGGTATCTCACTGCTGTCCATTGCAGGCAAGATTTTTGCCCGCATTCTCCTGAACAGACTTGTCATTGTCTCAGAAAGAAACCTCCCAGAGGTGCAATGTGGCTTTCAGCCAGAATGGAGTTCAGCAGACATGATATTTGCTGTGAGGCAAGTCCAGAAGAAGTGCATTGAGCAGTGCAAGTCTCTTTATAATGTCTTCATCGATCTGACAAAGGAATTTGACACTGTAAACAGGGAGGCTCTCTGGATCATTATGGATACCCAAGGAAATTTGTGAAGTTGATTCAGCTACTCCATGATGAAATAACAGGACAGGTTCTTTACAACGGTTATATATCAGTTGCATTTGCGATTTCCAAATGCAATTACCCCAAATGGGGTAAAGCAGGGTTATGCACTATCCCCAGTCCTGTTCAATCTATTCTTTGCTTGCATGTTGTCATATGCTACCCAGGGTCTGAAGGAGGGAGTGTACATTAGTACCGATTGGAAGACTGTCTCGTTGATCTTCACTGCTTGAATGCATGGACGAAATGCCTCCATACAGCCATCCAAGAAACCCTCTTTCCTGATGACTGTGTGCTCCTGGCACACAACGACAGTGATCTACAGTTGATGCTGAACAAATTCTCAGATACTACTATGCTCTTTGGCCTGATTATCAGCCTGAACAAGACTGAAGTACTTTACCAGCCCATGCCAAATACCAACCCTGTAGAACCAAATATCACTATCAATGCCCCTAGCTGACAAATGTAAACAGCTTCAAATACTTGGAAAGCATAATCTTGAGCAAAGGGTCTTTCGACAAAGAAACTGACTCCAGGATCAGCCAGGCCAGCCAGGCCAGCCAGGCACTGGGGTGGCTGCATACAGACTGCTCAATCAACACAGCATCCATATCTTCACAAAGCTGAAAGTCTACAGAGCTGTGGTTATCCCTTCTCTCCTATATGGATGTTAGTCCTGGATTCTGTACCAAAGGCACATCAATCAAAGGGAGAAATTTTATATACGTGCTCTCCACTCCGTCCTTGGCATGCATTGGCAAGACCATGTCTCCAACGTGGAAATCTTGGATTGCACAGAGCCCACTAGCATTAAGTCCCTGATTATCAGAGCCCAGATGCAGTGGGTGGGACACGTCATCAGACTGGATGGTCACCGTATGCCTCGCCAGTTGATTTGTAATGTAATGGAGTCCAGGAAGGACGAGGTCAACCACGCAAACGCTACAAAGATGCTGTGAAAGAAATGCTATGCCACTCTGATATCTAGCCAAGGGAACTAGTAGCTGAGGCTGCTGACAGAACCCACTGACAAGCTCTGTGCTATGAATCTCCACCAGCTTTGAAGACAGGCACTGCCAAAAACTGATAGAAAGTCACATCTGCTTTGAAATTAAATTATAACATTGTGCAGAGATCTAGGTTCAAAGGGCAAAATATGATTCAGAGTTTGTATAGGTACAAATGTAGCACTTGCTGGGAACACTTTAAATCAAATATATGTTTTTTTCAGGATTATACAGCAAACCCAAGAAAAGATACAGCTGCTTTAAGTGATCCCGACAGGTGCTTTATGTGCTACCTGGGAAGACTCTAAATCACAAAACTGGGTTGCTACTTAACTCTTTTTAAATACAAGTAATATGAAGAAAAAAAATATCAAGAACAATCTTCTCCCCTTTTTATTTCAATAAAAATGCAATTCGGTGGCCACTTCGGAAGATTTTGCCCATGATCTCAGGTTGGGCTTTTCCAGTTTTAGAAATTAGATCCGATCTAGAAGTATAACAGGTATTTACCCCAAGTTTTCTGTTTTTATAACTGAGACCAACATTCTGGCCTAAAATAGATGCATTTAATTCATTCTTGAAGCAGAAACTGTTTACTTTTAGCATCATTGTAAGTAAACATTTCCCATTCTGAGTACAGACACTGAAACATTGTTCTATGTATACCTGAGTGGAAGCCAAATCAGAACATTAGTTCTGTTCAAGATGCAGCCCCAACTCTGTATCTGAAGTGAATGAATGGATAAATTACAGCATTTGCTATAATTGCCAAAATTATGACCAAAAATTAACCCAATTTTTATTTTAAAAAATGACAAAATTCTCACCATGGATATTGATTAGAGATCTTGAAGCTAACTGAATTTACTATGCATGTGAAAATGAATAAGTTGAGTATGTATATATGTCTACACACAAGCACATTTCGGACTCAAGAGTCTTTAATACGTTTCTTTTAGCATCCAAGCCTCTTGTAACACACTATCACATTCAAAGCAACCAACAGAAGCAGCATACCATAAAGAATTCAAAGTCATTTCAACTAATATTTGAAATCATGACAATTCAGTGAGACTTAAGTCCATTTAACTTTTCTAAGTTGTATTTATAAGCTTGTTTTTCTTGTTCTGATGTCCAATTGTATTTCATTTATATTTGCTGTTGAATTATTAGGCAGCTTATTTTTACTTAACTATTAATTTGTTTTAGCTATGTCCAAAAATCAGACAGTGCTGACTGCTTTTATTTCATTTTCCAGCTCACTGAGCTTATCCTTGTATGTCTCAACCAATTATAGAGTGGGTTCTGACATGGCCATCTTTTGTCTTAAAAGCAGTTATAGCCCATTCAGTATATCAGCAAGCTGAAATAGGTGAAACAAAATGAAACTTGTATTTAGAAATAAAATATTAACAAAATACTATTGACTGCAAAAGTAAATTTTGAAACATGTATTACAACACACATGAAGATTGAAGTGCTCACGTTGTCGCCCATTTCAATGTATCACAAACAGCGATAAAGGAAAATATACATGATTTCTACAAAAATACTGAATGGGAAGGAGTGAATTCTCACCGTGTATCTTCCTGCTTACAAAAATAAATCAACAGAAGTCTCAATTTATGTAAGATAATCAATGGAATAAGAAATGAAAGAACCTCCTGTATACGCAGTAAAGCAAGGACATCAACTATGCACAGCTAATTATGATTCAATTAAGTAAATCAACCATTATTAATGTTTACATTTGGAATGCACAGTTGATCATGATGGGTAAAATCTACTTCTGTTGTAACAAAAAAGGTTTGCAAAAGCTTTTGAAATTGTGCAAGGCTTGACATGTTAGGTTTGCAATTCTACAAACACTTACCTGAGAATAACTCCCTTGAGCATAACGTCTGAGCATTCATACATTAATTTGACCTAAGTCTCTTTAATTGCAGTAATGTAAAAGCAGTTTAATATGCTACAAATTGTTTGACAAAATCCTAAAAGGAAATCTGTAAGTCTGAATATTGTTAGGCTAAGCACCATTAAAACTTATAACTTTTATATAATAAATATACATCCATGCCTCATAAGAATCATCTACCTGAATGCAGATACTTTTTTCAAAGGTATTTGGTCTACAATTTATTCCTTCATGAAGACCATGCCTGTGTAGTATCCACTATTCTTTCAAAGGCATATGCACGTGTATTTTAAAGGACATACTCAGAATTTGAAATATGATTTCAACAATATCCATGCCTAGTTTTCTCATTGTGTGCATTTAGTGTATTTGCTTACTATTCTTGTAAAGATTCCTAGAGTTTATAATGTCTGATCCCGCTTCATTAAAAAAAGAATTTACTGGACTTTAATTTGAATTAACTTCTTTCTAAACGCATAACTGAGCCTGCAAATTAATACGGATAATAGGATGTAAACAAGAGAGGAGTTAGACCGACTAGGCAGAAAATTTCTAAAACAGACTCAATTCATCTAGGCTCAGCATTCTCTCCACGGTTGAAATCTGGTTCAGGTAAAGAAAAGGCTAATGCAGACAGACTTTTTCTATTGATCCCAATTTGCCCAGAGTATGCTAACTTGATGAAGGATGGGTAATGGGGGGCTGCTGCCGAGTTCAAGGCGGAGAGATTGCATTTTCTCTGAGCATCTTCGCTCCCCATCATCTTCTCCGTCTGCTCTCCTCTCGCGCCTCCTTCCACCGCCTTCTAGCACAGGCTGCCACGCCTTACAGTACCGCACTCCACACCCAGCGAAGTCGGCTTTCAAGAGACAGTGGCCTCAAGGCTACGCATCCCCACAATGTTGGGCGTGCCGTGCTTTCAATTCCTACCTTCGCGTGTTTTCGCAGTTCCAGCCTTCCATCCAAACCACCCGTCTCAGTGGAGGAAATAGAGCAGGCGGGCTTGTTCTGCCAGGTCACCGACCCGTCCCAAGATGCAGCAGGAGGTGCTGCTACCGCGGCGTTCCCCCATCCAACCTGCACCCGGCCCCCCCTTCGCCCCCCGCATACCCTTCTGCTACGGCGGGAAGTTGCTCAGTACACCTTCCCCAATTGCGTGAGGGAGGGCGGCAGGCAGGCAGAAGGGAGGACCCCTCCTCCCGTCAACCAACCTCCTCAGAG